AGAGAGAAAGAAAGGTTGGAAAAATAAGAGAGAGAGAGAGAGAGACACGTTGTTGTAAAACTCACGATAGCACGTCGTGTTATTCTTAATATAATATTATGTACCTTGTTCGAATGAAGATCATTATACAGACTGAATTGTATCATATTATTACACGTAATTACAAAATTGAAGAATGATTATTTATACAGTTATGTATACATTTTAATGGGGAACTTTTATGAAATATAAAAAGTTGAGAATCACTGTTATTCTTCTCATTTTGAATGAAAGAAATTTATAAATCCAAATATATATATATATAATATGATTCATTCTGTATAAATGATCAAAATTATCCAATAGGATAATAGTTGGAGAGAGAGAGAGAGAGAGAGAGAGAAAGAGAGCCGAAGCTTTTAAGAATTTAATATTGCGAATGCCCTGGTATTTGACGCACTTCCATAGTTCGGCCATTATGCGATTTGTAATTTATGTCATTTTTCAAAATACAATAGAGCCTCCTCTCGTATCTGTAATTTATAGGTGGGCCAAAGTAGTAGCTAGATGAGGGAATTTTTCAGATATCACTTTATAAGAAACCAAAAATTGCACAAGCTTTTTAACACAAATAATTCTACGAAATTCTATTCTTTTTGGTGCTTTTGAACCATTGAAATTGTCTTTGAAATTTTTCAAATGCTTCAGTATGAATGGGCATGTCATCCTCAACGCTTCTATTTGCTATTTTTGCTTGCATACAATTATATCATTGTTGTTAAAATCATTACAAGCTGATAATGCAATGGCAATATAGTTGACAACTTTTTCAACATTGTTTACAATTATTTATGAAGGAAAAACTCTTTCCAACATTTTTTTTGGCACGTAAGCACACATGTAGCATGTAATTTTTGATTATCATATTTTTGTTTATTAATATCTGAGATTGTAGATTGTCTAATATCATGCATTCTTGATAATTTTGCTGCATTATCATCATTATTAGCTTCATACAGAGTTATAACTCAAATTTCTTTGACCAATTATGGGAAAGTTTATATAAAATGATGTATGCATTCATTGTTATTAAAATAACAGAACTTTTGCATCATTGGAACTATGATTTATACAAAACGAGAGCATATATTTCAAATTAATGCTAAATACACGTGCAAATGAAATCCAATCGTAACAAGTATGCAAATCTCATAGCTTAAAGTCAGCATGAATTGCTACAAAACAAGGATGATAAATATGGGAGGCCCTACTGTATTATGCAATTTAATTTGTTAAGATTTTCATATATATATGTATAATATGTGCGCAATTTTGTTGTTCAATTTACTTTTGGTCGTCTCTCTGCGTTAATTGTTGTTGTTGCTGTTGTTGTTGTTGTTGTCGTCGTTGTTGTTGTTGTTATCGCATTAAATTATATTATATATATAATTATCGTATTAAAACAAAGCTTGCAATTTTACATCGTCAATTGCACAACTATGGGAAAAGTGAAAAGAATCAGACGAATCGATCGACTAAAGCACAAATATAGAGTCTGACGAAGATCAATTTTTCATTAACGATCTTAATAGACCAAATTATCTTAAGAGAAAATATGCACATGTCACTGTTTAACGTCGTACATACCAAGTATTCGAGTCACACTTTTCATCAACTATTATTTCAAAATATACATGTATACAGGATTTGTAAAAAAATTAAGTTGAACAGTTCAAAACCAAACTTGAGAAATTTTTCTTTCAATGTTTTTTATACAATTGTTTTAACTTTCGTTATTTTTCTTTACAAAGTCTTTGTGTTCTTTTATAATGAAAGTATTTGATCTTTTTATTTGAAAAGAACTGTATAATTTAAGATATTATTTACAAACTTTTGACATTTTTTTTTTTTTTTGGTAAATGTTTTATGTTATTGTCAAATATAGAATGATAGAATTATTATTTAAATTAAAAATGTGTGACCACATACCACCAACTTGTACGACATTAATTAGAGATATGTAGAGATTGTAAATAAGTTTGATGGAAGTTGCAGTTATAGAGGATTCTAATTTAAGTAGTAAAATTGTAAGGTTTTTAAAACTGATTGATGATTGATGATGGAGCTCGGGCGAAATGATATTATCGAAGTCCGGTAGTTGCTAACGATGGCTGTGATAAGAATAAGGACAAAATTAACGCCGAATGAAAAATACAATTTGCGAAGAACACAGTTAAAAAACTAAACAAAACAAATAAAAAGGGACTGTCGATAAACAAACAAACAAAAAATTACATAGTTGTATATCGAGAAATTGATGTTAAAAAACGATGCTCAAAAATATATACATATGTAATGTATGTAATAACATATATATTACATATGTATGCCCCGTTCTCCTATTTGTGTTTCAATCAATTTTATATTAATATGATTTACGATTTGGTTTGATTTTCATATATATATATATATATTTACAGCGAAAGGAAGAACGTAATTTTAATTGCATGCTGTTGGTTGCAACAAAAAGAAAAAAGAAAATGAAAAATAGACAAACGCGTCTCTAAAAAAATGCCTGCGACATTCTCAATAATATATTCAACATATTTTTCTCTTCTCTTCTCGCGTAATTCAATTATATGAAAAATATAAATAAATAAATGCTCTCTGCAAATCGATTTTGATTATAGTGTATTAAGTCCAGTTAGCTATTTATGGTTACACGTAGAGAGCGTAGATTTTACGCTGTTAACACTCTGTTCAAAAATTATTTCGTGAAAAGTGAAAAGAAAAATTATTATAAAAAAAAAGATTAACTTTACGTATAAAAAAATACACAATATATATAATAATTGATATTCTAGCGGAAAAAGCAAATGTATGTATATATTGTATATTATTATTATTATTATTATTATACATACATATATACATACATTTGAATATGTATATATACAAGTAGTGTTTAAAGACCGATGTTCATCATACATACATTTTGCGAATATTTCAATGGGAAAATTCGTTTGTTGAATAATGATTGGAAGAAAGAAAGATGATGATGATGATGATGATGATGATGATGATGATGATGAACAAAAAAAGAAACAATGTTGTATCGCGTTTTTTGTACTGACGATTTTTGATCAATCTCTTTTAATTAATTATCTGTATATCGTCATTATATTTGTGTATTTACTGTAATGATGTTTTAAGATCTCATTAATCATCGGTAAGATTTTTCTATAAATGAACTTTCTCTTATCAAGAGAGTAAGAGTTTTAAAATCGATTTTTAAATTGATACATATACATGAATACATATATGTATTTTGATGTATATTATATTATTAATTGATAGATATATATTAAGATATTAAAAATCTGTTATAGTTTCGGTGACTTATAATAGGTAAATACGAAAAATAGATTCTACATAACCACATCGGAAGTTACATTTATGACTCGACCCAATATAAGCTTTTTAATATACTTTCTTTTTTTTGTTTTGTGTCTGTATGAATGCTACCAACAAAAAAATCACACGCCAAGTATGTTACACGTTTGCATGATGTTTGTCGATATACAAATTATAATCTTATCTATCTATCTATCTATCTATCTTATCTATTTCTCTATCTATCTATCTCTATCTTTATCTATCTATTTATCTATTAATCTACTTATCTATCTTTTTGTCTATCTATCCGTCTGGATTGATGATAATGTTGCAAAGAAATAGAAAAGGGGGAAAAAAATCGTCAATACAAAAATATACTTCTGAACAAAAAAAAAAAAAAAAATACGGGACAACGCATCAGTCAGAATTTGTTCTTCAAATTTTTCTGTATAAGAAATCTTATACCTTTCTTATATATAATCCTTGTTGCCTACAGTCACGATAAATTTTACGTGAGAACTGTAGTAGTTGCTCTATCGTTAAATTTGATTAAAACATTAGAAAGAAAATAAATATATGGTACTTGTGATTTTATTCTAAAACAAGACCAGACCAGACCATCACACCTCCATCCCAATTTTATTTTCGATATTATTTCCATGGATTTAATTAAATATATATTAAAATGTAATGCTGCAACAAAGTTGTTTGATTAGATTGCATATACAATGATGACGTTGAAGAGGAGGATAAGATGATGACATATGCAAATAGAAATTGGACTGTTATCATTAATGTAAATTTCAAAATGAAATATCTATTCTTTCAGAAACGATAACATACATTTTCAAATGTGAAATATTACATTTTCCCACGCGTTCGTCATTTTGTCTGTTAACAGTTTCTCCTTGTACATATATTATACACAAAAACGACAAACACACAACAACAAAAACTGATGTATATGTACATATATTTTTAAATATGTATATAGACATATATTATTATTATTATTATTATTATTATAGATTAGATTTAATATAGAGCAAAATCTATTTATATAAGCTTTCTCGATAGCCACAAGCGATCATAGGAAGAAGGGAAAAGAATTGTCTCCCCCTCTTCTTCCATGTTCGGTCACTTGTACTCTTAAGGTCATTGCATGTCAAATCGATCACTTTCTATAGCAATGAAATAGAGTAATGTAATTCTTTCTTCGAAATCAAATATAAAACTAACGAAAAAATGATGATGTACGGTATAATATAATATTTACATAGATACATATATACATATAATATTATGCATATGTATGTTTAAATGATTTAGAGACAAAAAATATTTTCGATAAATACCATTGAGTTGGCAGTGCATCAATATTTAAAATGACGAAGAAATAAAATTCATTAAGAAATCAAATCAAATCTAATCAAATAGAAACAAACGCACAATGCAAAATGAGAATAATTGGAACAGTTATAAACGTCTGACAAAAAAAAAATAAAAAAATAAAAAATAAATAAAAAAAAATAAAAATGAGACGAATAAAGTGAGCGATTTCACGTGGATTGATCCTGGAGAAGAGAGAAAGGAGGTGCGTTAACGAAGATTGGATGGTCTTTCAGGGGGAGGAAGCAGCGGTGGCAACAGCAGCGGCGTTAGTGGTGGAGGAGGTGGTGGTGGTGTAAGCGGAAGCCTCAATAGCAGCAGCAGTGGAAGAGGACGGGGTGGCATTGGAGGACCACCAGGAATGGGAATGGGTATTGGAGGTGGTGGAGGTGGTGGACCAGGAATGATTGGCAGAGTAACCGGTGGAGGCTTTGGTCGGGGATCGCATCATGGTGGTGGCTTTATCGGAAGTGGAGGAGGTCCTGGTGCTATGAGAATGGAAAAGTTACATCAGCATCGTTTCAATCCGATCGGTATGGGCGGTGGATACGTCCAGCCACATTTTTGGTGACCATCGAGGAACAAGAACTCGACAAGCACTACGACTATACTATGTACTACTACTACTACTACTACTACTACTGCTACTACTACTACTGCTATTACTACTACGACGATGACGACGACTGCGACGGCGACAACGACTGCAGCAGCGATTACGGAGATGGCAGAATTAGTTATGCCATAAAGCATAACTATCACGTCACTATCTTTACACCCCATACAGCCAACTCTAAAAGCGGATCGATCATTAATATTCGTCACGAAATTTTGTCATTTCGAGTGATCGTCAAGTGCTTTTGGGCTATTATTCCCCCCTTATCATTTTAGCATTTTATGGGGTTTTCTTTTTTTTTTTCTCTCTCTTCCTATTTTTTTCTTTTTCTTTTTCTTTTTTTTTATTCTTCTTCTTCTTCTTCTTCTTCTTCTTCTTCTTCTTCTTACAAACTATTGACCTTAAATGAATTATTTTATTCATTTATTTCGAATTAGAAACTAAACCTTTCTATCTTAATTTCTTTCTACTTTCTTATCTATATTTTAATTACACATACTGGAACATACAAACATACACACATAAACACACACACACACACACACATCGCACGCGTACAGTGAGTCACAGGAAATATTCGTACATCTATTTGTAAGTTTTAAATAATTGATTTTCATTCGTATGTTTTAATAAAAAATAAAAAATAAAATAAAACATATTTTACAATTAGTAAATTAGTTAATTGATACGAATCAATAAATCATCCTCTGTCAAATATAATAATATTTAAATAATGAGGCATCAAATCTAACAACAGATTATTTCTCTGTTTAGAATAATTTGAAAGATTTCTGTCAAAAGTAAAAAATATCTGTTATGTAAAATAAATGAATAATAGATACACGGATACCAATAATCCTGTAATTCATTGTACATACACGGGTTTTACTCTATCCTTCGGAAACTTTACGATCGCTCGAACGTTCATTCCGTAATGTCGGGTTTATAAAATAGCCAAGGATCCGATACATTCTTACGTTTTTTCAAACTAATGTCAGTGCTCGCGTTATATGTAGTAATTAAGCAAAGAAAGCAAAAGAAGAAAAGAGATTCGTCAAAAAAACAAAAAGAAAAAACACAAAAAAAAAATCATTAAAAGTCAAAGTATAAAGAATGGTAATAAAGTTACAAAAACAAAAAAAACATAAAAAAAAAAAAAAAAACAAATAGTAGGTGTTAAAAATCCCGTTGCATAGCCCGTGTGTCGTGAGAGATACACCATTTTAAAATTAACGTGTCCGCATTCGGGCTAAAATAAATCGTTAAGACGAAAACTTAAGAAAGAAAAAAGAAAAAAAAAGAAAGAAAAAAAAAAGAAAGAAAAAAAAAAAAGAGTTCTATATATACATGTTGTTGTAGATTTCATTTTTAATGGTTCTAACTTTAAACTTTATCCGATGTTTCACATTTTAAGAAAAAGTTTTATTCGAGTCAGCTTTCCAAGCGTCAAAATATAAATTCCCTTGATTCTATGCAACGTTGGATATCGATGGTATAATTAATAATATATATTATATTAATTGTGAATTAATATAGTATATGTTTCTGATGTTTGCTAATTGCGCTCCTAATTACTTTATTATTATTATTATTATTATTATTATTATTATTATTATTATTATTATTATTATTATTATTATTATTATTATTATTACTACTATTTTATTAATTGTAAGATTATTTCTCTTATAATTATTATTCTTATATTAATGGGGGGAAAAAATGGTTTGATGTGAGTTGAGT